CCAGTCACTCTCGAGGAGAAAATCTCAGTGTGGCAGCACACCTCTCTGCTCCCTGGTGATTTCTGCCCTCCCTATATGGCCAGCTCACCCACAAGCACTCGGCTGCGGCCATGTGGGATTCAGGAGGAGAAGCCCCTTGTTCTAGAAATCCAGAGTGAGAGCCAGAATGTGATACTGTGTAGGATGGTTAATTTTGTGTGTCAACTTGGAAGGTGTTTTTGGATAAGATTAACATTTGCATTAGTAAACTTTGGGTAAAGCAGATTGCCCTTTAGAATATGGATAGGCTTCATCCAATCAGTCAAAGTCCTGAAAAGAACAAAAAGACTGACTTCTTGAGTAAGGGGAGTCTCTAGCAGATGGTCTTTGGACTTTATCTGCACCATTGGCTCTCCTGGGTCTCCAGCCCACCTGCCCACCCACCCACACCGCAGATTTGAACTGCCAGCTTCCATAATTACATGAGCCAATTCCTTATAATACATCTTTTTCTCTATATACAAACATCCTATTGGTTTTTTTTCTCTGGAGAACCCTAATAAACTGGTTCTTGCCCAGAGCTACGGGTGCCAGAACACAGTGAAGGCACTACTTGGCCAGGAAATGGGCAACACCAATCTAAGAAGTGACTAACAGAGATGACTGCCACCATCAACAAAGCAGAGCCACCATGGGAACCATTACCTGGGTTGATGATTCAACTCAAGGTGTATTGGGAGAGCTGGAGGAAGGACAAACAGTGGGAAGGATAAGTACCCACAGGGCATGTGACCTATGTGACTCTGAGCATTGTACTTTTCCTGTTTGCATAGTACGAAATTCTTTGTGAACTGCTGGTAAACCACTCTAACCAGACTACCATTTTGTCATCAGCTAGCACTTGCTATTCTCGGTGCTGCCTGGGGAGAGCACCCTCCATCAACCCATATCCCATGCAATCTGTCCCCTCATCTGGGCCTTTCCTTACATCCCTCCCTCCAAACTGCCTAGATCAGACAGCTCCTGCTAACCTAGTTGTTTCCCTTTACAGGAAGGACCCCAGCTTGTCACTGTGCATTCAAGTGGCCTTGTGATTACTCTGGCCTTCCTCACTAGACTCTAAGCCCCATGGAGGGAAGAACAGAAGTGAGACTGTTTTGCTAATCCTGTGTTCCCAGAATTTAGCACACTGGCTTGCACACAGAAAATAACCAATAAACACTGAGCAAATTTTTTAAAAAAAGTATTAGTTTGCAAGAGCTGCCAAAACATACTACCACAGACTAGGGTGCTTAAACCACAGAGATTTATTTTCTTACAGTTCTGGAGGCTGGAAGTCCAAGATCCAAGTGTCAGCAGGTTTGATTTCTCCTGAGGCCTCTCTCCTTGGCTTGCCGATGGCCACCTTCCTGCTGTGTCCTCACATGGTCTTTCCTCCGTGCATGCATACTCCTGCTATGTCCTCCTCTTAGACGGACACCTGTCAGACTGGATGAGGCTCCACCTTTATGATCTCACTTAACTGTAATTAGCTCCTTTAAAGACCCTATTCCCAAATATAGTCACATTGGGGGTTAGGGCTTCAACATATAAAATTTGGAAGGACACAACCCAGTCCATAATAGGATATTTGCCATATTTGAGTACTAACTTGTTGGAGGCCTGCAGCCCCACACCCTTTCTTGTGTGACCAGAGCTACGTGACAATCTGCTTGTGCCAGATGTCTGTACTTATGGGATATCTGCCTCATAATCTGTTTGTGCCTGGAGCACTGTGTTCCTGGCTATGCAAGTTTACTCAAGAGTGACCTTTCATCTTTTTACAACTTTCTGCCTTCCTGTAAAGATTGGGGGCTGTTTGGCATCAGGGACGTCCTGTCTTTGTTTCTTCTCAAGATCTTATCATATTCCTGCATTCCTGACTCTTTACAATATGCCTGCTTTTTCCTATATAAGATGTAACCTAAGAATCAATAAACGAGACTTGATCAGAATACTGTCTTGTCTCAATCTCTTGCGTCTCTTGCTCCACTCCATTCCCACTCCCCCCTCCAGGTCTGTGTTGCTGTTCCCGCGGGTCGGGACACTAACTGCTATTATTTTATGTAACATTTTTCATCAAATCATCTCATTTGTCTTAAATCTATACATTAAAAATGACATTCTGGGCCGGCCCGGTGGCGCACTGGATAGTGTGCCGCTTGGGAAGCGCGGCGGCGCTCCCGCCCAAGGGTTCGGATCCCACATACAGACCGGTTCCCGCTCACTGGCTGAGCGAGGCGCGGGAGCAACGCCGAGGGTTGCGATTCTGTTGCCAGTCCCCGGTCCGGTACGGGGGCAACACTGAGGGTTGCGATCCATTGCCGGACACAGAAAAAAGACAAAAGACAAAAAAAAAAAAATGACATTCTGTATCACTACCATTAGTAAAAATTCAGTGTCATTTACTTTAATTAGAAAATAACCATAAAAATAAATACAATGAGACAATGTCATTAGAAAATAACTATTAACAAGCCCTATTAAAAATTCATAGAGATAAAAAGTAGAATAGGGTTGCCAGGGATGGGGGTGGGGCAGGGAGTGGGGAAAGGGGAGTTAGTGTCTGATGAGTTTCATTTGGGGAAGATGAAAATGCTCTGGAGATGGACGGTGGTGATGACTGAACAACAATGTGAATACACTTAATGCCAGCGAATCACACTTCAAAATGGTAAAAATGATTTTTATGTTTTGTGTACTTTACCACCGTAAAAAAAGGGGGGAGGGAGGAAGGCTAATTAAATTATTAAATTCTAACTGGATCATATTGCTCACCTAAAGTTCTGAGTCTGAAGTCCGCTGGGCTTTCATTCTATGAAGCAATGATCAGCCAGAGCTGGGCAGCAGTCTTAGACAGAGCGTGCATTCTTCAGTTAGCCCCAGTCCTCACTCCTCCCTAATGTATTCCTGACACCAAGGGGCAGGTCAATGGCCATGTGTCATTGCACTTCCGTTGTGTGCTTCCTATTAGGCAGAAGGGCTTCACCATACTTATGCCTCTGACAGTCTGGCTCATGCCGGTTATCTGGCTTTCTCACTGGTTAGCGCCCCTTTTCACTCTCAAAGTGTTCCAGTTTGAATGATACAGTATATGGTGGTCACCCTATTTGTAACTGACCCCTTATCTTTTATTTACAACTTATAACAACTTATGGCAGTTTATTCCTGTATTCTGGATCCATAAATAAGCCAAGTGCAGAAACTGCTGTGGTTTATAAGTGCATATGCTCTTTGACTTATGGATGAGGTTATATCCTTACGATGGGGCTACATCCCAATAAACTCATCATAAGTCCAAGTTGAAGATGTAGTTGATTACACCTAAGCAATTGAACATCATAGCTTAGCCTACGCCCACCTTCAGTGTGCTCAGAATGCTTACATTAGCCTGCAGATGGGCAAAATCATGCAACTCAAAGCCTATTTTATGGTAGCGTGTTGAATATCTCATGTCATTGATTGAGTACTGAAAGTGATAACGGTTAAGTCAAACCATCATTAGTCGGGGACTATCTGTACTGTCCAGGGAACCATCTTGTGGGAATGCATCCCCTCATCAGCTTGATCAATCTGTAAGTGGGATGGATGACTACTGCAAGGGGCTAATTTCCCCTGCGACTCCATGTCTACCCTCCCACTTGCACTTGCAAGTTACCAAATACAATAAAAAAGCCCAGGAATGTGAAATGCTGTTCATCTGTCTCCCACCCTCTCCATACAGTGTGGAACCCGAGCATCCTCTGGCCCTTCTCACCTGCAGAAGGAAACAGGCTCTACTTCCCAGTCCTACCCCCGGCCCTCTCCAGGGTCCTCGGCATTACGTGCCCCTCCCACCACTCCCCATTCTCCAGGTCCCAACTCCTGTAAAACACCCTCCTTCCTTCCCACTCTCTCTCCCCAGGGGAGCCAGTATAACAGGATGTGTAAGATATGAACATCAGAGAGACACTACAAGTTTGAATCTTGGTCCCGTCATTTAATTCTTGTGTGATCTTGGGTAAGTTCCTTAATTTCTCCAACCTTCATTTCCTCGCCTATAAAATGAGGTCAGTGAATACGAGCCTTATCGGGGTGTGGTGAGGATTAGATGGGCGAATGCATGAAAAGGATTTAGCCCTGAGCTTGGCATGCAGTGTCCACGTGCCAGCGCCATTATAATCACTACTGGCCTGGATCAATCTTGTGCCCAGTTCAGCCCACCTCCCCTAGCAGTGGAGTTCCTGAAGAAGGAACCTTTCCATCTGAGTGATGTCCTCAGCACAGAGGGCCTCAGCAGGGCAGTCTGCAATGTCTGTAGACACCATACATCAGAGGCCCATCGTACCATCCAGGGGGCCCTGACAACCTGCCATACCTGCCTGAGACTGGCATAGGAGCGAGAAGAGAACCACTGGTTTGAGTCAGCTCAATGTCCACAGCTGAAACATCACAACTCCTACTCCACTGTGTTGTGAAGATTAGATAAAATGAGATAATGTCCAGAAAACATCTCTCTGGCTCACAAGAGGGGCCCCCCACAGACCGGTTCCTCTTTTCCTCTACCTGAGCTGCTTACCCCAACCTCCAAGGCATCTGTGTCTATAACCAGCAAAGGGAGGCTCCTAGAAATCAGATCTAGACGAACACTGCTGCCCTCCCCCTCACGGCTTCTTATAAGGCAAAGGACCCTCCAGCCGGGGAGACACTGACTGGGTCTGGGTCCACTCATGGGCTTTGTTACTGTTGGTGGCAGGACAATCTTCCTCTAGAGGTGCATCACGGCCCGTTGACACTGTTCCTTCTCCATTCCTCCATCTGTTCCAAAATTCCTGCCTTCAAGGTCCAGGCATAACTTCTCTCTCTTCCTTTGGAAGAAGGTCCTTGACCCTAGATGGGGTTCAAACACCCCTGACCCCTCCGTTCCTGTCGTCGTACGCCATTCATCTGAGCAGTCCCCAGCCCTCATCTGGAACTTGCAAAAATAAACATGAGCCCTGGGACACCCTGACATAAATTTATTTATAAACTCCAGCCAGCCAGGCCTGGCTCAGCACAGAAGGCATGTTCTTGTCAGTGGCCAAAAAAGCAGACAATAATATAGCATGTTTGTTAATACTAACCATTTTAATTTAAATTAATAGCATTTCTGGAAGACAAACGCAGTTGATAGAAAATATAAAAACTTTTACTGTACAAATTTTACATCACATTCAAAAAAAGCAAGTGTATGCCTCATGGCCATGGAGAACTCTGGGTTTGCACACACCAATGAGATCCTGGCTACCTGTGCAGCGCGGTGCGAGCTCCCTGGCCGGCCTCACATTTACGTCTCTGTCCACCCCCAGCCCCATCCCCAATACAGACTAACACAGGCTTACAGGGCTCACCTCTGCAAACAAGAGAAGAAATGCCGTGAGATGGCAAAGGGCGTTTTGACTTGGTGACACAGAGAGGTCATCTTTGTTACACATTGCTCCCGACTAACCCAGAACTAGCTGGGAGTCAAAACCTCGAGGCAGGCAGAAACACAGGGAGCTGAAGCCCTGGTGGTGACAGGAGGCAGGGCTCGGGAGGTGAGAGGGGGGACTGGGGGTGCCTTAGGGGCCAATGTTTGGGTTCCACTCTCAGACCCTGGTGGGGACCCCTGCAGCCCCCGACAGCTCTCACCAAGGTCCTCCCAGCCTTCTCCGTCCTGTTCACAGTCAGCCACAAGGGCTGAATTCACAGTATCTGTCATCCTTCATGTGTTTCCAAGACAGACAGGGAGGGCACACAGAAGGGCAAGCCTATCTCCTAACCTCAATTCACAGTCACCGAAGTAAAAAAAAGGGAAGGGGGACCATCACAGAGGATTATCTCAGCTGACAGGCGTGCAGAGGCCAAGAGCCGAGGCCCAATACCTCAGCTCCACCCTCGGGGCCGAGTGGCTTCTGCATTCCTGACAAATATCAGGCCCCCACCAGATGTCAGTTTCATAAGGGTGGAACTGTGACTGCTCCTATCTCTGGGTCCCCAGCACTTGTGCAAGACCAGATATACCATAGGTGCTCAATGAGAGCTTCTTACACCGTGACCCTCACGAGGAAAAGCAAAGCCCAGACTGACTTCCTGTGGGCCACGACGCCCCCTGTGGCCTGGAGGCAGGGGCGGGGGGAGCCCAGCCTGACTTCCCAGCCGCAGGCTCACCAACGTCCCTTTCTGCTCCCGCCTGAGGGAAGGCCGGGGTCACAGTGGAAAGGTGGAGGCTGAACACACACACACTGCGGCCTCTGGGAAGGCGCAGGCATGTGGGAGGCCAAAAGGATTAAGAGGGCAAAATAGCAGTCCCGCCACAGAGGGGAAAAGGCTCCCACTGAGCCGAGCCCACCTGGCTTCAGCCCCTCTTTCCTCCTCCTGAGCTCTGACTGGGAAGGGCTGACACACTGATGTCCCGGGCACACCTGCGCTGCTTACAGCACACTCCCCAGGGCGGGCTTGGCCCAGGAGTGCCTGATCCGGATAGCAGGAGGCAGCCCCACAGCTTTTCGGCAGAGTGGCCTGTTTGATGTGACAGTGCAACCAGACTCTGGTGATAGGGAAGGCTCTGAAGTAGGGGCTTTGCTAGGTGGCTCTAACTGAAATTGCTGGGAACCACCTGCTCACCCCACGCCCCCACCATCCGAGCTCAGATCGTCGTCACAGGTTCTGGGCCTGAATCCAATCGTACCTCCACTCCCATGACCCTTTTTCCTTCCTGATTTTGGAGCCAAACACAACTGAACCTCCACTTAAGGGCTTAACTTTCTTCTCTCTCTAGGTGACAGTTTCTAATGAAGACAGGCGTGGTGTTCTCATATCAAGGACTTTCCCAACCCCAGCCCCTTCCCTAGCTCAAATGGACATATGTAGAAGGCCTCACAGTACCGGGGAAGGCTCTACACATGAGGACTTGCTAGGTGGGTCTAAACGAAAGGGGTGACGGGCCACATGCCCCCACCTAAGCTCAGAGCATGGACAGAGGAGTCAGGAATGGGCTAAGGGGTTCAATAGAACCAGAGAAATAAGCAGTTCTAGAGCCTTCTAGCCCTGATGATGGGTTTCTAAAGCGCCAGGGTCACCCTGTGGCTGAGAAGGGGAGCTCAAGTACCTGCTGCTGCTTAGGTCCCCCTGCCTCCCCCTTGCTCTCACTCACCACGCCCTCCCAGTATGTGCAGCTGCCGGGCTGGCCCTTACTTAGCTCTTGGGTCAGATGTCAGCCAGGATGAGATGCATCCAAATGTCAAGACCCTGAGTCCTGTCGCCTTGGTGCCTGCCTGGGAGGCTCATGAAAGAAACATCTTTACCAGCATGTGGATGTTTCCTTATCCTGCAGCAGAAACCGTGGCTAGGAACAACTGGATCAGCCCAGATGCTATGTGGATTCTGCCTCTACTTTTCCTGCAGGAATAGGCTGGATTGCAGGGGTCCAAGATCCCCAGGAACTGCCAACCACCATAATCCAGCTCGGTTCCCATCCAGGGTTTGTTCTACAAGACAGGAAGGGACAGCAGTCCTTTGATAGGACAAGAGGAAAACTTTATAGTGAGATTCCCCACTGACAGGGTTTGGGGTTAAAGCAGAGGCTGGGTCAAACCTTGCAGGCCCCAACCCTATCCCAAGAGCAGCCACAATCACAATACTTCCTCTTCCTTCCCGGCCCAGCTTGGGCCCCTCACTGCCTACAGGGTCCTCCAGAGGGGGACGGCCACCTCCACCATTCTGGCCACAGTGCCAGCACACCTATGCATGGACTGTTTTATTATTACCTATTGTAAAACATCAAGTTCACTCAGCAGAAACATACATGTAAACATTTGCTGTTGGGACAGGTTTGGTTGTTGGTGTCATTTTAAGAAACAGCAGGTGCAGTTCCAACTCCAGGACCCAAGTGTTTGTGGATGAACAGTCTGAATCGAGGACTCGTGCTCTTGGTTTGCAGCGCTGGGCAGGCAGAGTGGTTTTTGTCGTGGTGGTGGTTTGGGTGTTTTAGAAACACATTTAGAAAGGAAATCAGCAGCGGAAAAACTGCACAGCTGGCTACATCTTTGGATTACTGGATTCCAGGATGCCCAAACCAAACCTTTCAAACCGGGGTACAACTTTGCTGCTGTTAATGCTGCAAAGAGGAACAAAAACAAGGGTTATAGTCCCAGTGGTCTTGATCAGAATTAGGGTAACACTAAGGAATAAGCTAGTTCCAGAAGCTCAGCAGAGGACCCAGCCCACAAGAAGTGGAAATGTTTGTTCAGCCAGCAGCCTTGGCAGAGCTGCCCCTGGTCATACCGAGTCCTGGGACTCAGCCACACTCCCCCCTCCTAGAGGGCAGCGGCTCACTTCTCTCTGAACCCCTAGCCCCCGGCATGCGCAGTAACTGCCGTGGGCCCGTCTGAATTATTTCCTTGTTTGCAGCCCACGAAAGTTCTCGCTCCAAGTGGAATTGGGACAGAAGAGAAACCTGACACCCAGTACCTGGAGTGACACCGCATGCTCCTTTTAGAAACTCAAACGTTGGGGTACATCAGGGCCACCTGGGAAGCAGGATGAAATGCAGATTCCCAGAGCCTGATTCCAGACATCCGGATTCAGCTGGTCTTGTTGGGGAGGAAGGGAGGGCAGAAACCTGCATTTAGTAAACAGTGCAGCGACTGTTTTAAGTGGCTTGTCAGCCACACTCTTGCCAAATGCTGACTGGTGGGGGTCGGAGGGGGGCGTCTGGTCTGTGCAGCACCGGGCAGATGTAGAGGGAGTAACTTTGTCGGGGTGGAGGGTAGAGGCTTCGTTTTCATTAGTGAACTTGTTTGGAGACAGGTACTGCTTTGCTGTAGGACAACTTTTCTGAGTGTGCTGCTGAGGACAGCCCTCCAAGCTGGTGTCTTTCATGGCAATAGAGTGTTTTGTGTCTACCGCCCCAACTCTACAGAGGGGCCTGAGAGGAATCCAGTAGAAGGTTCCTGTGACCACAGTGTTAGTCTCTGGACAGCACTGAAATCATTCCACTCCTTGTCGGGCAAGATCCCCACAGGTTAAGTAAAACTCCTGCCCCTGTCCTATGAACACTCAGCTGGAGGCTGGTGTGCTCAGAGGGGTGGGATATCTCACTAAGGTGTTAGTAGTGAGACAGGGCGCCCCAGACAAAAACAAGAGCAGCCCTCGAAGAACACGACAGAAAAAAAAAGCTGCATCCAGGAAGGTAGTTAGAAGCTGCTCAAACCGCCTTGGAGGGGAGCTTGGTTAATGGGATCCTCTGAGAGACGTTACTCAGGCACAGGCAGGCAGGCCACGTGGAGAGGGGAGTGGGCCAGTTTTAAAGACAAAGCAAAAGAAGTCTGGAGGGAGAAGATCGGAGCAGCAGAGATTGCATCCCCTGGGTTAGTGCCCGCATCTTATTTTGCATTTTAGCAGAAGTCACGGTGCCAAGTGGTCGATTAGGAGGAAGAAAGCCCCTGGTGCATGCAGGGCAGCCAGGCCTACAACCTACAGGAGGAGAGAGAAGAGGGAAAGAGCAGTGTCAGAACCAGAGCAGTGGGCAGGGGACCCTCTTTCTCTGCAAAGAGAGAAAGGGACATCCCCCAATTCCATTCCCCGGGCTTGGCAGCAGAGCAAGCTTGGAAGGGAGCCTGGGCACACAGAAGCTCCTCTGAGATTGCTCAGGGCACAGTCATGGGACGTTTCAACAGAACTTGGCTAACATGCCCACGGCTCCTTAGCCCTTGACTATCAAAATTTACTTCTTGGAGTTTATTACATCTACTCACTGGATTCTCTTCTTTTGAGCTCTGGCCAGAGGGGACCTTGGGGACTCGGATCAATGATCTGAGTTCTCTCCCACCCAGGCACTAGCCATCCGTCCACTCATGGCATGGACAAAAGACCTGCCACATGCTATGAGTCAAGAGAAATACAAGCCTTTGTGGCCCCTGCTGGTGGCCATTTCAGCTGCAAGAACTCTCTCTGGTTCATTGGAATAAAACACAAAACGGTGGAAGGTGGGATGGGGAGACGGAGCAGGAAGCGGGGGTGCAATGGGACAACCATAGCAGGCAGAGAATGTGGCAAATAACGGGAAACACACTATTCCTCCAGAACTGGACAGGAGTTCTTAAAGTCAGGGTGACCATAACGTCCTTTCCCGTAGTAGCGGCTCCGCCAGCGACTGGGAGTGCCCGCGACCGTTCCGCCAGGTGTGGGCCGAGTGCAGTCCAACCCATCGGACCCAGCAGGTGATGGCAGCCGGGTGCCCGGACAGGTGGAGGAATCAGGATGGCAGGACAGGGGGAGGTGAGAGGGCAGGTCAGCACATCCGCCACCCCCCAGAAATAAAAAAGCGACAAGACCAATGGAAAAGGAAAAAGAAAATGAGAATTAGAGGTTGAGTGTGTAGAAGGTAAAAATCATGAACAGGAAGCTTTGACACAAACTCAGTCAGGTGTGCTGGCATGCTTTCCTTTCAGGGGCTAGAGCTGATGGCTTTTGGCAGGTGACAACCCCCATTTGTGACTCAGTTTCCCATCTGTGAAGCAAGAAGTTAGTGCTACACGGTTTTGAGGGAATCCAGAATGCCAGTGCCCACCTATGTTGCCTGCTCTTTTGTGGATTAGAAAACCAGGGCCCAAGCTATCAGCCAAGTTGCCCGAGGTGTGACAGAAGCAGGCCAGAGCTCGGCCATGCTGCCTACATCACCCTCCTGGCTCGGTTCGGAGAACTCAACGCTCCCAGTCTCTGCTGAGATAGTTCCAGTTCGAAACCCTGCTGATAGCCCTTTTGCTGGAGACTCTTCCTCAAGTCCCCCAGGTGGGCGGGGGACCCCATCAGAGCTCCCACAGAGCCCTGGGTGTTTCCACAGCACTCGGCATGCTGTGACCGTTCATTCATTCATTCATGCGCCCATTGAGTATTTACCGACTGACTACCACACTCCTGGGACCATGCTAGGAGCTGGGGACACAAAGGGGCCAAGACAGAGTCCTGCTGCGTGCAGGATTCATTACAGTGTCTGTCTGTCTTTATTCCCAATTACACTATGAACTTGCTGGTGGCAGCCCAGCCTTGGCCATCTGTGTTCTCAGGTGTGCAGCAGGTACGCAGCATGGCTGACTAAAGCTCACACTTTTAATGGCTCCACTGTTACCCCATACTCCCATTGGACTCCCACCCATCCTAAGGGCAAAGAACTGAATCTAACACTGCATTATAACGTGTAGTATTCCCTAACTCCAAATAGTTGTTCCTCTAGACTGTCCCTTGAACTGGCCCAAATCGGCAAAGTTTGCCATATCTCTTCAGCGACCTCTCCCGCCTGCAGCCTCTGCTCAGCGACCTGTGCTGGGCCTTCCTCACTGGCTGCTTGAGCCCCGGTTTGGTTCTTTCTCAAGTCAGGGCCTGGCAAACTAAGTTTAGGCCAAATCAGCCACAAGGTAAGAAAAGTTTTGACCATTTTATAGGGTTTTAAAAAAACAAAGAACATGTGACATTGTATCACCCACAAGCCTAAAATATTTACTATCTGACCCTTTCCAGAGTAAGGAACACTGCTGCCACCATGAATCTGGGCACCAGGTGTGAGATGTGGGCACAAAGCTTCCCCAGGCACTCAGAGATGTAATGTGTGCAGGGATGGGACCCTTGGGCTACCTTGGGAGGGGGCAGACAGGTGGTGGCCCTCCATTCCCAGCAATGGCAGCTCCACTTTACCTGTTTTATATATTAGGATCTGTGGGAGATTTCGCTTTTGGAAAGTGTCCTTTGTCTTTAAAAACTTTAAAACCATTCATCTTGTCTAGGAGTCCAGCCTGTGGGCCGAGTATGGCTGGCTACCTGTTTTTATACAACCTACAAACTAAGAATGATTTTTTCCTTTCTAAATGGTTGGAGGGGAAAAATCTAAAAAAAGAATATTACATGACATGTGACAGTTGCGTGAAATTCACATTTCCAGAATCAAGTGTCACTGGAACACAGCCAGCTCATCGGTTCACGTACTGTTTGTGGCTGCTCCCGAGCTACAGCAGCAGGGCTAAGTCCTTGCTACAGAGACAGTGCTCGGTGCACTGCAAATGCCAGTGCTAGGAATAGGAACTTGAACTTCCCTCTTGGCCTGTAAAGTCCCAAATATTTACCACCTGGCCCTGTACAGCGTAAGTTTGCCCATGCTGGGTCTCGCCCAACCCCTACTTTTTAAAGCAATGTAAACTGAGACCCAGAACAAGGAAGGACCTCCCCGGATTCTCACAAAGGGTGCACGGCAGGGCAGAGGTCTCCTTTTGTGTATTCTGGCAGAGGCAGCCAGAGGGACAAAGAAGAAAAGGAATGAGACAGAATGCAGGAGAAACAACAGTGGCCTCCACTGCCCTGTGGAGACCACCCTGCACCAAGGAGTACAAAGGGCTGTGTGATTAAAGAAGAGAGAAAGGGCTTCTAGCATCAAAGCACCACATAAACTCAAATGATGTGGTCCCCATAGTGGGTAGCTGGCTTTGTGCTGGAAAGCTCTGTGTTTGAGCCAGTGCCACATTAGGCAATACTGGCTCTGCTTATATTGGTGATGCTTGGTACCCACACTGCTCTGACTCCCAACTTGCCCATCTTGCCCCTTTCCAAGCAGAACCTTCTTGTCCTGGCCTGGCATCAGTGCTGGTCTGATAACAGTGACATGTAGTTTTTCACATGTGAACTAGGGGTGCTCACCTGTCCAAGGAAGTCTCCAAAATAAACTTGATGAATGAAACCCTGGTATCACTGGGGCAAGAGGACCAGTCACCTCTGGCTAATCTGCTTTGTGTATTCCCTAGATCAAAGTCTCGGGCAGACAGAGCAGAGGGTGCCCTCTAAGACCCTGGATGAGGCTGCAAGGTCCTGGCTGGCAGGTTCTGCCCACCAAGGGGGTACTTACTCAGCTGATTTCCAGAAGTGCCCAGGGTGGGAGAGCCGCCGGTTCAACTTGGGCAGCTTCTCCAGCATGTCCATCAGCAGGCTGAAGCTGGGCCTCTCCTGCAGGTCAAAAGCCCAGCAGGCAGACAGGATCTCCTGCAAGCAGAGCTGCCATTAGTGGTGTGTGAGCTGGCTGGGAGGAGGGGGCACAACTGGGGCATTCCACAAAGGGTCCCTTCAATGCTCCCAAGTACCCCCAGAGCAAGAGGACCCCTGAACACCCTTGCCGACATGAAAGACTAAGACTGCATTCCAGAAGAGCTTTCATGTTTCCAGTTCAAAATGAAATGCATGCACCTGCCTCCCCTCCTTTACCCTGAAATAACTGTAACCAAGCTGAGCAGTTATAATGGGAAAGAGATCAGAAATGGGGTTGTTGGTTTTAAAAGATGAAAATCAAAGGCAGCATGTTGGAATGTGAAATGCAAGATGCTCAGAATATGTGCGGGAGGGAGAGTGGGAGCCACAGTGCTGCCACAATAGAGATGGGAGTGACAGGGAGGACTAAATATAGGAATAGCAGCCAAGAGTTGGCAAAACAGCTGTCCCAATCGCCTTCCAGCACAAAGCCCTTCTCACTGTGGCATTTTGCTGCCTACTCTCAGGACCCACGCACGTCCACAGGACACTCCTGTAGCCTTCTGATTCAGGAGAATTTACTGTGAGAAAATAGGCCTACACAGGCCCCCACAGAAAGCACACACCCATTAGACTCAGCAACTCAGGCTTTTTGTTCTTAATTATAATTGGACCCTATGGGGTTGCCCATCAGGAAAACCAGAGAGACCAAGATAAACAGATTAAAACACTGTCTGTAAAGGATATGAGGGGGTTGAGTGCACATATGTGTGCACATGTGTACGCACGTGTGTGTGCAAAGAAGCTACTCTATCCATAAAACAAGACCAGGTACAATAAATGAGAAATCATCAAATAAGGAAGTGCTTGAAATCGAAAATATAATTTCTGAACCAAAACATTAGCAGTGCTAGAAGATAAAATCAAGGAAATTCCCGATCGTGGGCCCAATTTTAGATAGGGATAGAAAATACGAAAGAAGGTAAACAACATAGAGACTCACTAAGAAGGACCAAATTTTGTCTAATGGGAATTTTCACAAGAGAAAACAAGCCACAGGGCAGGACATTAACAAAAATTAAAAAAAAAAAAAATTTTCCCAGAAACTTTCAAAGGAAACAGCAGACTTCAGCTGAAAAGGCCCAATGAAAGGATCTCACTAAAAATAAATAAATAAATAAAACTAAACTTACACTCAGAGATATTTGTATGAAATTTCACTGATAGCAAAGATAGAAAGAAGATCTTTAATGTTTCCAGAAAGAATAAAAAAGGGCACCTACAAAAGGTTGAGAATCCGACCAACAACAGATTTCTCAACAATGCACCAAACACTTAGTAGACAGCAGAACAAATTCTCTGTGTTCTGAGGGAAAATTACTGTGAACCTAGAATTCTACTCCTGGTGTGAGAACACAACAAGGACTTTTTAGGAATGAAATAAGGACTTAGGGTAGACATGAAAGGATTCAAAGACCATCTCCCATGCATCCACTGGGAGGCAGTTTCTTTAGGTTTCCCTCTCATTTTGCTGGAGTGCAACTGACCCAGGAAAGAATGAAAAGAAAACAGAAGGATAACAGCTGGGTAGCAGGCCTAAAATCCCATAGATTCAAGTTATAAGAAATTACCGGGCTCTGGATAAAATGGAAGAGATTCCATTCAATAAGCAGAATGCAGAAGGAGCAAAAGATCCTAGGAATATGGTAAAGGTGTTTATTTTTTCTCTAAACAAGAAAAAAAAAAAAGAAAAGAAAAAAAGAAAGGGAATTAGAAACTACAGTAAAAACTTAACTGCAAAAGAAAGCCATGGTCCAAATGTGAAGCCAACAAAATTGTTGTGAGCCTTTGAGGAATTGATAGAGCAGGAGAGATGGACCCACAGAGGAAAATGTGTTCCCAGCAAACTACCTGACAGCGTCCTTGCAATCTATTATAATAGCATGCACACTGCTTATTGTTTTCTCACTTTTAGCCTGAATTGCAGACACAGCATGGACGATTTAATCATGCCAACATGAAATCAACCTCACAAGAAACAACTAAAAGTTTCCCTAACCTAAGTTGTGCAGTAGAAGGGACAGAGCGACGGGGAGTGAACAGCCAGTGGAACAAGAAGTTGGTGCCTTTGGAGAGTGACCTGGGGTTAGGGACTGCTGGTTTTCATTAAGAACCCTTCCGGCCTTTTGTTGTCTTCCTGTGAGCATGTGTCCTCAGGTAAAATGACTAACTCACTGGCTGCCTCAGTGCATAAGGCCGTGCCTGGTGGTGAACTATACAGCAGTGTGGCTGGAGGGACAGAGATAAAGGTGCCACTCAGAGGGCACACCCTGCTTTCGACTATGATTCAAAATCATTTTTATCACCATTGACCACTGCCCACCCCACTCCCCAACAGCAATGTGTTAGAAGAGAAAAGGAAGGACAAGACCTGACGGGAAAGAAAACTCTCGTGAGCCAGACGCTGGCCGCTGGAACGTTTTCTCTTTGTCCCTGGTTTCCTACTCCCTGCCCCCATCTCTTCTCAATAGGCTTCAAAGTACCTAAACCCTGCACTAAAAGAAATCCTTCCAATTAGTTTAGAATTCTGGCTGTAGTCCAGAATTATCCAAGGAGTTTTATTTTAAAATTATAAACTAGGAAAATTAACTGTGATCTTAGTGCCATCCCAGGCCAATGAAATCAGTATCTCTGTGGGGGAGACCCTGACCCTGGTAGTTTTAAAAAGCTGCCGGATGATTCTGACTTGTAGCCAGTGTGAGAGCCCTGAATCCTCTGCAGCCCTCTGACTGGTTCTACTTGGCTCGCTCCAGGCCTGCACCCCCATGAAGACAGCTAACACCCTCTGCTCCAAGACACCAAGTAAGCAGCAAGGGAACTGAAATTGTCACCAGGAGGGCAACTTACTGAGAATATTTTTCCTTTTAGACGAAACCAACATACATACATACATACGTTAGTTTATACAAAGATATCCTTACTAACTTTATTGGAAAGGTAAAATTGGTAATAACCTAAATGTCCAGTGACAGTAGTAGTTACGTTATAGAGCAGCCATAGGATGGAGGGCAGATAGGCTTAACAATAAGGATTTGTTATATCGAGCATAATAAAATGCCATGCGGAAAAAAGTCATAATAAAAAAATCAGCTATATGCTATGATCTTGATTTGTTAAAGAGATGTATTTAAAATTTTTTTAAAAAAAGACTGGAAGGGGCCGGGCCCATGGCACACTCAGGAGAGTGCGGCGCTGGGAGCGCAGCAGCACTCCCGCCACAGGTTCGGATCCTATATAGGGATGACTGGTGCACTCACTGGCTGAGCGTGGTGCGGCCAGTCTCAAAAAGGACAAAAAAAAAAAAAAGAGAAGTCAGCAACTATAATACTGAAGACAAGTTTGCTATGGAAACTATGATTTGTTCTTGAACAGTAAAGAAAAACACTACGGAGTAAGATTTGATACCACAGAATAACCCCACTATTTGTATTTTGAGCAGTCATTTAAAAAAATATCTTTTCTCATGTAAGAAACTTATAGGGCTTTACTCTTTTCATCTGAAAAATCAACTAAAACCATTACCTTAAAAAAAAAAGACTGAAAAGAAATAAAAAATTAACAGTGGGGTAATACTGGATGGTTTTAATTTTCTTCTTTAGGCTTCCCTATTCTTTCACCCATTTTCAATAGGCAAGTATGGTTTTTAATCTCTAGTGTAGACACCTCCAGGTGGCAGTGCCCCTCACTGGTCCCACCCCTCAGGTGGGTGAATGAAGAGTGAGCACATTGAGTGCCCCAGCCCCCCCTCCAGCCCCACTTTCCTCCCCAGAGCAGGTGGCTACTCACGGTGACTTCCTTCCCCAGGCTGACGGAGGCCAGGACATGCTTCATTCCTTCCCCGCTTCCAATCTGCCAGATCAAGGCCTCTGCAGCTTGGTTCTTAAAGGGCCAGTCTCTTGCTTGGAGCTCATACCACACAGTCCTGTGGAGACCCATCCATGTGAGTCCTGGACAGCTCTGCCCAGCTCAGGCCCAGGGGCTCTGTGGCCAGAGGACTGGCTGCCGCAAAGCCAGGAGCTGGGTCAGAGCATCAGGACCCTTCTCCAGCCTTCCTCACCCAGCAGCTTCAGGGGATGCTGTGAGGGCATCCTGAGGCTTCTCCGGTCCCGGAGGTTCTGGGCACTGCACTCCATTGTGTGGGAAACCTGGGGCAGCACAGGCTTCACGAGAGCGTCAGTGGTCATTCTGCCCCCAGCATAAACCCTGCCCTGCCACTTTCTAGCCAATATGGGGTCACTCACAACTGACACATGGACAGTCGAACTGACGTGTAAGCTACACACCAGATAGTGAAGGCTTAGTAGGAAAAATGAATATGAAATCTCATTAAATTTTTGTACTGATGACATGAATATTTCGGATATATTGAGTTAAATAAAATACATTATTAAAACTGTTTCTTTGTTAATTTCACCTGTTTCTTTGTTAATGTGGCTACTAGAACACTTTAGATGACATATCTGGCTCACATTACATTTCTGTTGGTGGTCAACCCAGCTCCTCGGGTGTACTTGAGGTTGGCTGGCAAGTCACCCAGTTCTCCCAGAGTGGGAGGGACAGTTCTTGGTTAGCTTTGGTGAGAGCCCTCACAGGGCAACGGGGAGGCTAACAACAAGCGTTAAGCACTTTGCACAATTACCTGGTTTGGTCCTCACGAATCAACCCTGCCAGGAGGAGCTGTTATACTCCCCATCTTATGGGCAGAAACAGAAGGTCATGGATGTGGTCACTCACCCACCAAGTGACAGAGCCAGGACTCAAAACCAGGTTTGTTTTCACTCCAAAACCCGGGCTTTGAATACCTCAAAGCACACCTCCGCCTGCTCCTATGGCCACCAGAGCCCTCTCTTTTGGCCACACTTGGCCTCAGAGCACCAGGGGTCTGCTCACCCAAATGCGTAGACATCGGCAGCTTTGGAGAAGGGCAGCTGATCCTCATCCTTCCCAGGGGTCATCTCACGCACGATCTCAGGGGCCAGGTAGCACAGCCAGTCATGTGACAACTTTAGCTGGTTCTCACGCCTGGAGGCCAAGAAGCCAGGACAAGGACATAGGGCTTTCAGCAGGCAGCAAAGAGGCCTGCCTGGCCCATGTCTGCTCCGGAGCCAGCAGACCACCCATGCACAGCACAGAAAAAGCACCCGGACACAACATGTGATCCTGCACTTGCAAAGGCACTGCACTTCTAGAGAACGTTATGGAAGAGTCACAGCCAGCTTTTCTAGGAAAGCAGGCCAAGCACGGGTATGGCAGGGAGCTGCACTTGAAGGTGCCTTGTTCCTATGCTGGAGGGGTATGTCTCCATCCAGGAAATCAGGCTTGCCTGTGCACCTACAGCCTGGCTGCCAGTCTCCCTTCTGGGGTTCCCCCAGATGCTTGGGGAAGAGGCTTTCTCCTTACCCTGAATTTCCTCTTCAAGATTTGGGGAAATAAAACCTGATGCTCTTGCTCACCATGGGGATGTGAACCCTGGTCTTTGCCCAAGTCAGTGAGCAGCCAGGGCAAATGTGAGTCAGGAGACCCAGCTTCTATGGGGGTCAGCCTGAGAATCAAGTGCTATGAGGGACCTAAACGTCACCCAAACACAATTCTGGACCAGAACCAGGAGCAAGGCAACCTGGCCTTCCCTGCAGGGAGGTCTGCCAGAGTGCCCAGACCTTAGCTGGACCTCAAGCCCACCCATCACCACCCAGATCCTCCTGTCCCACCAGAGGCCCAAAGCCAACTCACCGTCCTTCTCGGACCACACCCGAGATCCCAAATAGCCCAAAGTCTGTGATGACCACTTTGCCATTGTCGTAAAAGACGTTCTTAGATTTGAGATCTTTGTGCACGATGCCCTTGGCGTGAAGGTACCCCATGCCCTGGAACATAGCAAACTTCACATCAGTGGGGAAGTAATGATGACTGACAATGACTAAGCTGCCACCCTGGGCCAGGCACTGGGTTAGATTCATTACCCAACGCCCCTCACTTAATCTTCACAATCCTATGCAGTTATTGTCCCCATTTTACAGATGAAAAAACCGAGGCTCAGAGAGGGAAAGTCACTTGCCCTAAGCCACACAGCAGTTAAGTGGCAGAACTGAGATCTCACCCCCCGCCAGTCCTTGCTCTTTCCATGGTACCCTGCTGCCAAAAACAGCCTTAGACTTGGATAAGGGGTGACATGTGGACAGGGTAATGGGCAGGGGGGGCAGGGGTTGAGGAGTATGTAAGGGGCAATGATACCATCTGTGTTAAGTCATAATGGGCCCAAATGAGCTGGAGTCTCTGCCTAGGATCTGCACAGCTGGTCTCTGCCCTCAAGAGAGGCATTCCCACAGAAGGGTCCCCAAGTTCACATGGTCCCGATATCTGTGCTGGGGTAGAAGGAGCCCTGCAGTAAGACTGGAATCTGGGGTTCAAGTTCCATCTCAGCTCAGACTCACTGTGTGGCCTTGGCCACATCGCTCAACTTCTCTGAGCTTCAGTTTCCTTATCTATCAAGTGAAAAGGTGATTTCTAACCAAAGCTCTATTTGAACTGATGGGCCAGGTACACGGAACGCAGGTGACCTGACAAAGGCATGACCTCATCCAAGGTCAAAGCTGTCTTCAAACACCAAATGCGTGGCTCCCACGTACCCTGATGCCCTTGGGAACAGGAGCAAGATGCCAGAGCTGAAATGGCTGTCCCTGCTGGCTCAGAGAGAAGCAAATGTAAACCCACCTCCCAGGCCCCCACATTGCAGGAGCTTTGCACGTTATAGAGAAATCTCCCTGGCTATAAAGGTGTCTTGAAAAACAAGCCACATATAGGAAACAGAAAAAATGAGCTGCTTGAAAGAACCAGAGAGAATTCAGACCCAGTAAGAGTCCCAGTGGGTCCAGAGAGCATCAAAGAATTTAAACAAATCAAATCCTCCTCTCAAAGAGACGGGAGGGTGTGGGGTCCCCTGAGGCCACCTCAGGCCTGCTGAGAGTTGTCATCCTGAGATGGAGGCAGGGAGCTCCAGGAGCGAGTAACTAGCTCCTTCCCAAAAACTACATCCTGGGGCTGGCCAGTTGGCTCAGTTGATTTGAGCCCAGCCTTATAACCCTCAGGTCATGGGTTTGCATCCCCTTACTGGCCAGCTGCCAAAAAACAAGCAAAAGCCAAAAACTTCATCCTCAATGCAAGATAACCCTTAAAATACCCACCCATTTCCCAAACCAAACTAAGGCCTTCCCCAGTAGCCAAACAGATCTGAAGACTCCACCTTGGATTGAAAAGACACCAGCTTTGTGACTGGGGACAAGTCACTGTACCTCTCTGAGCCTCATGTGTAAAACTGGTGGCACAGCCTGAAAAAGCCAGTTTAAAGAAACAGATGTAAGGTGCCCTGCCTGGAACACAAATGCTCCATTCTCGGAATTCCACAGTGTTCCCACAGCAGCCCCAAAGCTGCAAATCCCCTAACCAACAGGCAGGTCCCCTTTATTTATTTTGACCCCAAAAGCATCAGAGATAACTACATAAAGACTCAGAAGTTTCCAGTAGAAGGGGGAAAGGGATGGTTTTTCAGCAGGACAGAAACCAAATAAGCCAGCAGAGAGACGGCTTCCCGCTCTGCAGCTCTAAAACCTTTTTAGGAACCTTTCTCCTCTGCCCTGGAATTGTCCAGATGGCTCGCGCACCCTAACTCAGACAGTCAGCCTCCAGACACAACCCCCGGCGTTCTGACAACAAGGAGAGAAAAGGAGGAGAGGAGGGCAGGGCTGGGGGGACAGGGGGCAGGGTCTTCGAGTGTGGGGGGCGTGGGGGGCATGGGGAAATGGCACAAACGTACCGCTGTGGCTCCCGCCAAGCTCCCCCAAACCAGGTTTTGGCTTCCATGGTTCATTCGCTTATCCACATGGACATGTCATGTGGAAACCTTGGTTTGGCCACAAACATTGTGATTTGTTTCTTTTGCTTTCTAAAGACATACTTACACACAAAGTGGACGGAAGGAAGAAAAGGGAGGAGGGAGAAAGAAGAAAAGAAGGAAAGAAAGACAAAAGGGAAAAACTCAGAGGGAGCTATTAAGAGAAAACTTTTCAACTCAACGAAAAAGAAAGAAAAGAGGGGCCCTTACCCACTAGTGTTCTAGTTTTTATTTGGATCTGTTTGCTGCTAAATAAAGCAACAAATGAGCTTTCCTTTCACATTTACTTACTTTTAAGAAATGATGAAAGAAAGGACAAAAGCTGCCTGAGTTGGGGCTGAGGGCCTGTCCTCAGGAAACTCGAGGGCAGAAAGCCTGGGTCCTCTTGAGCCTCCTGGAAGTAAAACACCATCCCCTGGCCCTTCCCATCACCGGTGCTAACAGACCCTCACCAAGTGCCAGGCCCTGGGCCAAATGCTCTCTCTCCTGGAGTTTTGCATTTTATCCTCGCACCAATCCAACGAGAGACGTGGTTACACTGTATCCCCGTTTTACAGGGAAGGAAGCCAAGGCTCAGAGAGGCTGAACAACCTGGCCAAGGTCACACGGCTGGGGTGACCAGCATTCAAACTCCCTTTAAAGCCTGCTGAGTTCCTCCCCAACCAACTCAATTCCATCAAAACTGACCAAGCACACAGCTCCTGGCTTCGAGTGGATGAGACATGGACAGATGGAAGGAGACAGGGTTCCATCCTTGAGGAGCCCCAGCTAGAAGGAGAGACAGAGCAGCCACAAACCACCCTGGCATGGGCTGACAGAGCAGAAGAAATGACCAAGAGCCCTAGAACCAGCTGGAACCCCCCCTCCAGGAGCCAGACGCCCCTTGTACCTTGATGATCTCCTGAGCAATCTGCCTCGTCTTGTTGATGTCCAGAGATGTCTTGGGGTCCCTCACAAACGAGTGCAATGTCCGTCCCTTGCAGAAGCTGTGGAGGGTAGCAGGGGTCAGTCAGAGGGCTGGGGTCGGTGCGACCTGACTCTGCCCCTTGGGGAGCCCGTGGGGAGCATGGTGACATTTGTCTCCGGAGGACTCTCTCTACCTCCTCGACCATGAGCCAAAGAACACTCTTTCTTAACCAAGCCTCACACCCATTCCTGTGGGCCTGGCCCAAACATGCACGCGTGCACGCACACACGCATTCCGAAGGCCCAGGGCCCGCCCATCCTACAACAGGAAATAGCTCAGCCGAGCTCCCAGCAGTTCCAAGCAGCCCGTCCTCGTGGGGTCCAGGCAGGACTGTGACCACTAAAACTCAGGGAAGAAGTTGGCCTTTTCGGGCTATAACCAAACAACATCAAGTCTCTGGGGCTCAAAGTAAAGATTTTCATTATTGTTTGTGGGGTTTTTTTGGCCACGGGGATTTTATTACAATAAAGGAGTTTGCAAGGAGGGAGAAGGGGGGGGGGTGCGGTGGCTGTCTGGGGCTTGGAGGTGACGATTGGGAAAGGAGCTTGTGTTCTGGAGTCTCCAACTCCATCAACTCCTAAATCCCAGGGCGAGGCAGGACTCAGAGAGAATGTGTGGTCCATTCCTCTGTTCCAGGGAGAAGCCGACTTACACCATCTTAGAAAGGGGCCTTTGTTTAGGAAAAGTCTCCAGAAGATAAGATTCTTGGGAGTCTCAGAGACTTTGAGAACCGGGCAAGGGATATGGAATATTGGTTCATGGTTTGTTTATCTTTGTTCCATCTTACTGAGTATATTCTAGAATGCATTAAGTCTTTTTGTTAGTGAATGTTTTACTCCAGAAGATATCTTCTGGAGACTTTTCCTAAACAAAGCCCCCTTTCTAAGATGGTGTAAGTCGGCTTCTCCCTGGAACAGAGGAATGGACCACACATTCTCTCTGAGTCCTGCCTCGCCCTGGGATTTAGGAGTTGATGGAGTTGGAGACTCCAGAACACAAGCTCCTTTCCCAATCATCACCTCGATGCCCCAGATAGCCACCGCACACATAAATGCTCCGTTCTTGGAATTCCACAGTGTTCCCACAGCAGCCCCAAATTTGCAAATCCCCTAACCAACAGGCAGGTCCCCTTTATTTATTTTGACCCCC